ATAATTTTATCTATAGTCTAAATAAAGCCTTTCTAGGCTAGACCTCTACCTTAGAAGCCTACTAGTTTTTTAATTTTAAAGAGGTAGTTAGTACTAATTCTTATTTCTTTTCTACTATGTATACTAGGTATCTTTCTAGTAAGTATATAGTCTAGTATAGTTTTATATATTTACTCTTAGCCTTTTCTCTATAGTACGAGCATTTCTATTCTAGAAAATACTATCTATAGTTAAGTGTATAGTAATTAGAGTACTAGGCTCTCTATTCTATAGTCTAATATTACTCTTAATAGTATTAGCATTCTATAGCATACTAATTCTATAGTTTAGCGCGATACTCTTCTCTATAGACTTTTTTAACTAGTTTAAGTATTACTATTCTACTAGTTTCTTTCTTAGGCCTTAGGTTTATGTACGTAACTACTTAGATTTTCTTGTTATCTAGCCTCTAGGTGCTAATAGCTGTCTTAACTACTACCTTACCTTCTTCTCTATAGACTACTAATAGGTAAGCTTAGTAGACGTAGTTATAACCTAGGTAGTCGCCTTTATATAGCTAATATAGCTTCTACTATAAACGTACTTTAATTTTCTAGTTATATATAAATAGTCTAGAGAGTTTCTTTCTCTATAATAGTTTAGTTAGATATACTTTATAGAAGAGATTCTTGTACTTGCCTCTTCTAGCACACCTTAGTTACTATTACCTAGCTTTTTAGGCTCTAGAGTAGTTTATAGAGAAGCTCTAGTAAATCTTCTAAATATATAAGTATACTTCTTTATCTATAAGGTGTTCTACTAATCTAGCTACTTTCTTAAAAGCGTCTAACGTCTTCTAGAATTCTTTATTAGTAAATAGAATATTCTAATATACGTGCTAGTAGCTCTATATATTATAGAGTTCTACGTATATTTAGTACTATTATACGTTAATATATTATTAGATAGTATCTAGAGTAAGGTGTTTTGTATACGTAGAGTACTCTAGTATAATAGCTCTAACCTTAGTTAAGTACTATTCTAAGTTAGTCTTATCTTTCTAGTATATTATATAGCTATTATTATAGTATACTATCTATATAAAACTATTATAGTCTACCTAGATTATTCTAACTATTTTCTTTTTCTTTAGGTATTTTCGCGTAAAGTATTCTTTTTTGCTATAGACTAGGCATAGTCTCTTCTTAAAGTATTGTGCCTTTTTCTTATTCTATAGAGTTTGTTTTCCTTTCTATAGAGTCTTAACCTAGTCTAGATCTATAGAATCTCTCTAGAATATAGTCTATAGTTATCTTATTCTAACTATTAATAGTATAAAATAGTCTTTACTCTATTAACGTTCTAAGTTCTATTTATACTACTAGTTATTAATTTTTACTACTATCTCTATAGTATTACTTAGGTTTTCTAGTTGTTTAGCGTGCGTAATATTATTCTTAACTAACTTCTTTAATCTCTTATAGAAGAGTTCTGCTAGCGTAAGGTTATTCTAGTCTAGGCGAGTACTTAGCTACCTAAACGTTACTATATACTAGAATGCTAATCTAGTCTATTATAGTCTAAATAGCTTTTCTTAGACTACTTTATATATATTAACCTCTCTAAATATTTCTTTAAGATATTTTATAAACCTAGTCTAGCTTTTAAAAATCTTATCTATAGACTATTATATTCTCTTTATATTACCTTTATTCTCTAGCTAGTCTAATATATAGAGTTTAGCCTACATAAAAGCTTCTTCTTCTTCTATGTTTATTATAGCTTCTAGAATCTTATCTTTATTCTATAGAAACGCTATAGCGTTATACTATAGGTAGAGCTCTATAGCTATTAGAAATACGTTAAGGTTCTCTCTTTTACTATTAAAGCGCCTAGACAAGGTAATCTTAGTCTAGGTCTAGCGTTTTGCTATAGCTAGCTCTTCTACCTATTAAACGCTTATTTTCTAGAGTACTATAATAACCTATTAGAGTTCTATAATCTATTCTTCTATAGTTAGCTTCTAGACTTAGACCTTTCTAGATTAAGTTCTAACTATTAATATATTATTCTACTCTTTAACGTTAGGTAGTTATTTTATTATAAGCTATTCTCTTAACTAAGACTAAGACTTACTTTTATAAGAGAAGGTAAGAGGTATACTTTAGGCTAGAATATTTAGTAATAAAGAGGTAGAGATAATAATACTATAAATTACAAGTTACTATAGTAATTTAATAAATAAAGTAATAACTATAAGAAGCTATAAGAAGTAAGCTTCTTCTAGTTATATATATATACCTTTTTAGCTAGATTAGATACTAAGACCTAGCTTTTATAGATTAGACCTAATCTACCTAGCTCTATCTAATCTATCTAATTTATATTATATAACTCTAATTATTTCTATAACTTTATATATAATCTCTTATTTTATAACCTTAAGCTTAACCTACTATTTTCTCTATTCTAGCTAGCTAACTCTATTCTTAATTCTATAATTATAATATATAGTATCTTAGTATAAGAGCTTACTATACTTTAGAATAAATAATTAGACTTTATATCTCTTCTAGACTACTTATACTCTTTTTTATTAAGTTAAATAGCTAGTAAAGGTAGTAATAAAAGTAAGTAATAGGTTAGAGCTATTATTTTTATTAAAGCTAATATAATAAAGATTAAGTAGAATATATAAATTAGTAGAAAATAGAATAATAAGCTCTTACTATATATTTATTCTAAGCTAGACTATATATATTAAAAAAAAGGTAACTAATAAAGTAGAAGATAACTAAAGTAAAGATATAAAGATAGTATTTAAATATTTAGCTTTATAATAATATAAAGCTATTAAAGTCTATTTAGCTATAAAGAATATATAAGAGTTAGACTATTATAAAAAATAAATTAGTAGCTATTTATAATATTATTAAGCTCTAAAAAGATTTTTAAATAAAGATATTTACTAGAGTTTACTATCTTACTTTTATTTAACGCTACTAATAGATAGTATACTTTCTAAAGAGTATAAGCTAGAGTAAGACTAATCTCTTATAATATATTATATACGCTCTTCTACTAGACTAAAATATTCTTTAGTTCTTTATCTTACTATCTTTCTATATCTTTTTACTAGTTTATCTTTCTATAAAAACTAATTATCTTATTATAATAGACTAAAAGATAGCTATATTATAGTCTATATATAATTTTTATTAACGTATCTTTTAGAGACTAACTAACTTAGACTAGAGTTAACTCTATTAGTTCTATTAAGCTAAGAGAATAAAAACTTTAGATTTATTACTATCTTATAGAAATAAGCTTTTTAACTTTTTTAATCTCTTTAACTCTTTTCTATAACTATAATAATATACTCTAGATAAAGTTCTAAATATAAAATAGTACTATTACTACTATAAACGCTATTAATAAATATTTATTTAAGTATAAAAAGATATTTATAAAAATCTTAGAATATATTACTAGAAAAGAGATAACTATTATAAATAAGTAATTTATCTCTAGTTATATACTTAATTATTTAAAACTAGAAACTAGTCTTATACTAGCTTTTCTAGATATCTATAATATTTATAAATAGAATAAAGTATTCTATATAGTAGCTAAAATATATAAATAGTAGTATAAATATTTTCTAAAATAAAAAGTTAAATAAACTAATTATATAGTAAGATATAAGTAAAGTAATTATAATTAAGTTTATAGAATACTAGTAAAACTTTAGTTTCTAATTTAGACGAAAAAATTACCTAATTTAAATTAGCAGAATTACCTAATTAGGGACTTCGACGTTCTGCCGAAAAGTAATCGGGTGCGGTTGGAATCGGGTGCGATCGGGAATAATTAATCAGCCAATCGGACGATAGGAATATGCACTGCCACAGGGCTGCGCCCAATTAGAGCACTGCGCAGCCTCTCTAGCCACAGAACATCAAAAGTTCAGAAACTAACCTGCGCGCCGCAGCCATGCCCGCAGCCAGCCAGCCAGCTAGCCCGCGCGCGCCCACCCATAACCACGCCCTGCGCCGCGCTCGCTCGGCTTTGTATGGCCGTCGCATATATTTCTGAGCGATCCTGGCGCAACAGGCAGTAATAATACGGCGCTGGCGGGCGTTGCGGGTGCCTGCAGAGAGCTCTCAGGTGCCTGAGGGCGCTAGCGGCGCGGATCAGCAAGTCGGAGATCGGTGATTCGGTATTAGGAATCGGGTATTAGTCGCCGGCTTTACTATATACGGCTAGCGCGTACGACCGCCAATCAGAGCCTGCTGCAGCCTTACAAGCCACTGCAGAGCGCTCCAGCCACAGAACATCAAAAATTCAGAAATCCTTGCGCCGCCCGCAGCCAGCGCGCCGGAGTTACCGGAGTTAGTCAAAATCCAGAAAGCCATGCCCGCAGCCAGCCAGCCAGCCAGCCCGCCCGCGCCCACCCATAACCACGCCCTGCGCCGCGCTCGCTCGGCTTTGTATGGCCGTCGCATATATTTCTGAGCGATCCTGGCGCAACAGGCAGTAATAATACGGCGCTAGCAGGCGTTGCAGGTGTGCCTGCGGGCCTGGAGTTATCCGGGAGTAACTCGCGGAGCAACTACAACCAGATACACTAGTGCGCTGCCTCGGTGTCGCCCGCGCCAACATTTGGCCCTTGTTACGAAAAGTTAGTGCAGTCGTTGTCCTCGACCAGGAGGGGGGAGTTACTCCTTTCATGGACAGTGCTCCGGGAGCACTGCGCCGCTTCTATGACCCGGTCGGCCTAACAGAAATGACGACGACGATGCCTATGCTTCCAAATAAACAGGGCGAGGAGTACTACACCAACTCTTCATGCGGTGCGATCTAAGAAGACTTGAGGTTAGGGTAACTACAGCAGGCACGTATCACAAGACCTGCGTAACCAGAGGGACTCCCGCCTCGATGGCCACTCGTTGTCAATATCTTGATGGAGCGAAAGGAAACAGGGTCATCTCTGGCCTATACGTTATTCTTGCTTGCTGTCTGTCCATAACCCTCCTGTCGGCCATAAAACAGCTTGAGCAACGCAGCAGATCTGTCTCGAGCCATCAGCGCTACTACAATGACTCTCAACTAGTATCCCCGAGACCTAGGGTGACCGCCTCGAGGTACCTAAAGCCTGAGCTTCCCGCTCTGACGGGAGCACGGCTCTCGGCACTCACCCATTCGAAGCCGTGCTTCCGGAAAATGCCGACCAGTCTCGCGTTATCGATACGCTCTGGGACGTCGCTCGAGGTGGGTCCCATCGCCTCGGCAAACGCTTGCCAGAACCCTCGGCGAAGGTCCGCCTGGTGGCTGACCCAGCGCCAGCCAGTTGTCGTCCGCTCACCGAGCAGGCTCTCGAGCCCCTCGATCGACGTGCCAAAGGGGCCGATTTCTGTATCCTTCCAGTCGCAGATGCCCGCAATGCTACCCGTCTCCGGGTTCACGTGGATATTATTCTCCAGGAGGTCGGTGTGATTGGGCACCATCGGCCAATCGCCGGCGAATAGCCCCGGAAGGCCCTCGATGAGGCGGTTTAGCAGTCTACCGAACTGCTTGGGCAAACCCCGGCGGAGCAGCTGGAGCTCTGACCTGTACAACTCGTACAGCTCCTGTCGGCTAGGAGTTGGAATTGATGGCGGGGTGTTGTGCCAGGCCGAGGCGAAGAAGCTGTGCGGTTTTCCTTGACATCAGAGAGAGAATCCAAGGTGGCATCGATGGCCTTACCTGGCAAAGTCTTGTAGAGTTGTATTCAAGAGGCGACCGCGATGCGCCCGTAACTGGTTCCGTGCGAGGTATGCTGACACGCCGCCCACGTTCTCCATTGTGTAGACGATGAGATTGCCCAGATTGCCCGAGTACTTATGCTGAGGCACAAAGACTCCATAAGCTTGCTTTACGTTGTCAAGTAACTCGAGGTCAAAGGCATATTCGGGGGCGCGAAACTGGACGACAAGCGCTGCGGCGAGGTCGACTGGCACGACGGTATAGCTTGTAGCGCCTTGGACCGCTGATGGGCGGACAGGCCCGCCGATGATTTCTCTAGCCATCTGGTCGCATTCATCTTGCGTCAGTGGAGCAGCATCCAGAAAGAATTGCTCAATCTGCATCCTCGATAGCTCCGAAATAAGGTCCTGCATTTCTGAGGCCATTTTGTGTATTTGTTGTGAGTATTGGATAGTGGCTAAGTATGAAGAGAAAATAATGAAGGCGGCAACGAAGAGGAATACGGGAAGGGGAGAGTGAATAGAAGAAAAACAAGAGCAGAGGGTGCCGGACCGTACCGATAAAAGGAGAAGGCGGGGAGCAACTTTGGGTGAGGAAAAATTCACGTGACCCTACAGCAGGCTCCACTGGCTGACACGGAGCCAATACACAACAACAACCTGTGCCGCCGACCGCCACGCCCTCCTTGCTGCTTCAGGAGATGGCCAACATGGGGTTCATCGCTACTGCAGCCTGAGTCCGTCAACGCCGTATCAGCCCACAATCGCGGGTTCTCTTTTTCTGAAGTTATGAATTCCCTTCTGTCAAGCCACGATATACTTCAAACAGGTGAGACAGTGGAGACAATCGATACTTGGCTGACCACCATTCTGCGCTTTACTCTTTATTTTCTTTGGCAATTCAACATCTTGTTCGCTGCAGCAACCTAAATTGCCATATGCACGTACTTAGCTGGCAGCCTAACAGAGGTGACCACCTCTGGAAATCTATATTCGCGCACATTCAATGGAATCCCATCTTCGTCGCGCTCTCTGCAAGTGATCATGTACATTCGTGCGTCAGCCCCTGTGTCCAAGGGTTGGGTACAGTGTAGATACATGCTTCCCACGAAACGCTTGTCCTCGCCTGCTCTCCAAGCTTTCCTCCAGTCAATGTTTGGACATCTCGTTACAGGACCTAGCTTTCTGCGCCCTTGATATCCGCTCAGATCTCCTGACAGGTTTAGGCGGCGTGGGTCCTGCGCTGTCTAGAGACCGGGTCTGCGTTTTAGCCACCCTTCGCGGGCGGAGCTGGCGGCGGAGGGTCTGGTTTTCGGCCGCGGGCCGAGTCTTTGGCCTCTTTGCATCCCGGGACTTGGGCGTGTTTGGGGTGCAGCGCTGCGGGACGGCGTCCGAGTTCTGGGTGGTGGCAGAGTCGGGCGCTGGCGCCTTTCTCGCCTTCTGAGGTCGCAGCTTCCGCTTCGGTGGCGCATCGGGCTTCGAGACCCTAACCGTCTTACCGAGGATGGGGCGAGGCTCCGGTTGCCGCTTCTGACGGGCGCGGCCGGTGGCAGCCCTCCGGGTAGGCCCCAGTGCGGACTGTAGGGCGTCCTGCTTGTCGTGGTGTCCTTGGCTGTGTGCTGTCGGACGGCGCCCTGGGTCCATTGCCTGCCTCGTCTGTTCAATCCACTGTAGTAGAACCTCGTGTCGTGTCAAATCTCGCCCGGCATTCTCCAAGAGTTGCAGGATGTCTGCAATGTCGTCGGCCGCGCCTTTCCTACTGACGGCGGTATTTGCGGATGTTGCTTCCCCCGAGTCTCGTAACATATCTAGTTCTTTTTCTAGATCGTCTCGACTCTTTTGCAGCTCCTCGAGGCGCATAAGTTGGTAGTCCTGAAACTCGACCCAGCGTTCCATTTGACTTTGTCGCTCCAGCTCCATGGTGAGGCTAACATCGTCGTCGAGTCCATGCCTTCGTCGGCGCGCGTTAAGCCCGTCCTCAAACTCATTGAAACGTTTTGTTTTCAGACAACGTCGCCGGGTTGTCTGCTGGAAGGCACGGAACCTCCGCCACGCCGTCCGTTGAGCGCAGAGCGGTACATCACCTGTACCTGGGAATGACAGCCAATAGTCTACTATTGCTCGGTACTCCTCGGGGAGATGCTCCCGCTGGGTAATCTCGAAGCCAGACGGGTAACAAGGAGGACAGCCATCCTCCTCCAGCTCTCGGCGCGCCTGGGCCTCCCTCGAGCGAGAGTCCTCGCTTTCCTCATTCTCGTCTAGTGGCGGTGTCACCCCTCTGAGTATCGCAGTGTTAGCGCAGCGGGGAGGGCTGGGGATGAGGAGATACGCGGGAGGTTCACGAACCGCAGTGCCGCCAAAAGTTTGTCGGCTTCGAGTGAGTTTCCTGCCTGCAGTTGCCTATGGATTCACCATGTCAGCCTGACCATTCAGACTCATCTGGGAATGCTCAAGACCGAATGATTACCGTGCTTTGAGTGCAACAGCGTCTCTTTCTGCTGGAGTGAGCTTCGAGCAACCCGGTATTGTGATGAGGCTGTCCAGCCCAGGTAGAGAACGTTAGCGTGGCAACCGCAATTGCGGGCGACAAGCTGGCACGTACCTCATGTCCCCGTAGTCGATAATGGTGGTGCGATCTGCTAAATAATCGATCGTAGATTCTACTGGAGTACTCATCGCGAAGAGAGATGCGGTTGTGCGCACGCATTTGTTGTGGTCGTCGTGATGCAAGAGAGAAAATGAAGAAGCAGAGGATGGCGCAGATCGTTTGTGGATCCGAGTGCGGCGTGTCACGTGCATGGCGACCCGCAAACCCTACTAACAGGCCACCCCCCGCGCCCCCCCCCTTGTCCATGTGGTGAGCCCATGAAATGCGCGCACGACATGGATTCGATATGGACAAGCGCCAGTCTAGTCGCGATATAGCAACATGAGATGCGACGGCCCTCTAGCACGACATTAACAACGCAAAACACAGTCACCGACGAGCTTCCCAGCCAGCCCATCACCAACCGACAATGTTTGCGACGTTCCGCATCGACGAGCCTCCCAGCCAAACGCCATCACCTCTCACGCGAATCGAGTCCCGGCAGAGACAGCCTTTCTACCTCTCCACGCTTCACGTATCCACCTTCACCGATCCTACCCGCCGCAAACAGCCTACAGCCCACACACTCGTTGCCCCACAGTATCGCAACACCAACATCCTCTCTGCTCAAGCTCCTGCCGCGGAAGGCCGACGCCCCACAAGCTGTCGAGGACTTCGTCGAGTGGGTTAATACACAGCACAATCAGCCAATTCAGCTATTCACTGGTTCTGCCATCAAGCGTCTCAAACCAGACAATGGCGGTAAGTATATCGCCTCCCGCCTTCAATGTTTCCTTCGGCGGAAAGGCATAGTGCACGCCACCGTACCGCCATGTTCCGCCCGGTCCACGTTCTTTTCCAGCCATCTCCAGAAAGCGGCCGCCATGGTATGATGAGTGGCGGGGAGAGGGACGGGGAGAGGTTTGCGGTGTTTGCGGAAGACGTGGCGGCTCGCGGGAAGGCGTTGGGCTCGCTCAGGCGGCCGCTGAGGCAGCGAGTCGGCGTGTTGGGCAGCGGGCTCTACGAAGGGTCAGTGGCAAGCTTGCGCAGACTTAAGCAGCGAGGACAGAAACGCACTCAGTCAAGATATGTAGTCAGGACGCTGGGAGACATTTTCGTGCTTGTGGTTGTTGGTGCCCGATGGGTTGCGACAAGACCACGTGCAAGCCCACTGAATGCGCCAAGCATGTGGCCCGTGTGCGTCCCCGCTCTTAGGAAGCCAGCCTGGCAGCCTGGAAATATTCATCAGACGCTGGCCTTTGTGGGGGGTGGGGCGCCAAATCACCTACAGTCTCCGTTTGGGCGGTGCGTCCTTCCATCAAAAACCTATGCCGCGTACGACTTCCTGCAGCCAGCCCTGAAAATTGGCCACATCCAGCCTACCAATGTAGATGCGTCCCAAACGTTCGACAGGCTAGCTCTGAGACCGAGAGGAGTAGGAATCTACTTTCTATGAGAACTTGTTAAGACTAACGCGTCGCAGATCCCTCGTGCGAAACCTCCCTATACGATAATCAGAACGGCCACGACGACCGCGAAGGGCACTACGACGACGAAAAACACCGCGACCGACGCCACGACAATAGCTGGCCCGACGACCGACAAGTGACACGACAGCCGACGACAAGCAAGGCAGACGGCAGCAGGAAGGCTCGTCAAAACAACGTCGCACCTGTGCCGAAGCGCCTCCCCAGCACCATCCAACGCGCCGCAGCCATTCCGAACAATTCAGTTACGTTGTACTACATTCGCGACTGTATTCCAGGGCAAGCGGAGCCCTTTTCATAATCAACACCGTCGTTACCCATCACAAACACGGCCTACCTCTGCTATTGCAGACCATTTAGCAAGTAGGTTTCGCTTCAATCGCTGACGAAAGGACACTGAACACTTGGCGTTCTGAAAGCATGGCCGATAAGTATGTGCCGACTTACCAGGTCAATTATCCCGACGGCGCAAAATTCCTCACAATCGGTGGCTCTGGTCTTATCTACATATTTCCTAGTAATGCGGCTGAAGTTCTCAAGGTATTCTCCCCACCGTATACATTTAATCTACTAAGGTTCTCAAGGTACCGTCTACAAATCCAAGGACCAGACACAATCACGCAATCGAGAGGCGCATTTATGAACGGCTAGGAACTCACCCGAATATCATCAAGTGTCTCCGTATGGACGACTATGGGATCTATCTGGAGCGAGCAGAACATGGCTGTATTCGCCAATACTTTCTGGATGGCGGGACTGCGACCTTACGAGAACGCATTCAGTGGTCTCTAGATATTGCGAATGCTCTCCAATATGTCCACGAGCACAATATCAGACATGCCGACTTGAGCGGAAGAAATGTACTTCTAGATTCGTCTAGAAAAGTACGACTTTGCGATTTTGCAGGCTCTGCAATTGACGACGATAAGGCTACAGTTTGGGCTGAGTCAGGATTCCGGCATCCGGATGACGACGAGGTTAAGCACTCTACCATCCGAGCAGAGCTCCACGCTCTAGGCTCGACAATTTATGAACTCTGCACCTTCTCACAGCCACATGGCCGTGAGGTGGAAGAGTGGATTGTTGGTCAGTGGATTCGGGAGGGTAAATATCCCAGCGTTAAGGAGGTTATCCTCGGAGACATAATTATGAAGTGCTGGAACGGAGGCTTTGCGTCTGCAAAGGAGGTTGCACAGAGCATTAAGCAGGAATCCGGGAATATATTTGCTAGGTAATGAGTGTCATAGCTGACAAATCCTTCAGTGTAAGGAGCGCTGTCTGTGTGTATCCCCAGGACTACTAATCATGTTCCACACTCGCTACATCCTTGACCAGCCGCAGTGATGGTTATATGCGTTGCCGTATTCTCTACTTGATTGTCGCAGGGTATATTGTTCTTCGCCGGTGCCTTGTCACAATAATCCGTAATTTGCTTTTCCGTGTACACATGTGGAGGTACTGCCTTGCACCCTCCTGGCTTGATCTTTTGCATTGTGTACTTGCACATGGTGTTGCTAAAAGAAATATGATTAACATTACTCGAATACAGCGCTGAAAACAGAGAGAGCTTACATCGTGCTAAGTTGGCTTAAGTTGAAACTAGTTTTATTTAGACACTTGTTCATATCTAATCGATAATAAGGGGACTACTTACATTTCGCTTAGGTGAAAGGGCACTGGCCTGCGTAGATGTTCGGCAATTCGCGAGTTGTGGGGCTTGAATGGATAGAGGTAGAGTAGGTAATGTCGGAGTTGTTACGATTACAAAAGATAGAAGAGCTGACGGCACTCGGTCGAAGAGCGGAGAGCCAAGGCCGCGTCATGTGACAGCAGTTGTGAGGGCTGGGTCCGCGGTCTCCACTGCTGTGAGCGCCCCTAGAACACCTAGCTGGGTAAGTCGGCTGCAGGCAGCGCTGTCTCCACGAGCTGTAAGGATAAGGGGTGCTAGCAGGGTAGGTTGGGTCAAATTCAGCTATCCAAAGGTGAGGAGTTAAGGAAAGGCTCCGAGAGGCTCTATATACAGAGGTGCCGAGCGCTAAGGCGCTAGGTCAGGTCACGTGATAGAATCACGTGACCTAAGGTCATGTAACCTAAGGTAAATCCCTAAACTAGACCGTTACATCACCCCCCCTTATAGGGAGAGCTCGTCTCTAAGCTCTAAAATACGCCTTCTAGGTTTCTCTTCTTCTAAAACTCTCGCGTTATACTCTTAACTATCTCTTTTTAGCTTATAGTAAGTATATTTATGTTAGTTTTAAACTAGAAGCGCTTTTACAGCTACTACCTTCCCTCTAGAGAGAAAGAGGCTTGTTTTTACGTTTGTAGGGCGGCTTTGTCGTAGGCTCTCTTCTTAAATAATACTCTAAGCTTAGCAGGGTCTTAAATCGCTTAGCGGCGCCTTCGCGTTACCCTAGTATCTTCTACTCTTGCGGGTTTTAAATTCTCTACTATCTTCTCTAGAGTCTTCTCTTTTTTGTACGCTTTAATCTAAGCATCTAATTATAAGAGCAGCTCTAGCTTATCTAGGTATACTATATAAAAGTTTCTTACTTTATAGAGAGTATTAATAAAGCCTATAGTATTATACTAGGTAGAGTTAGAGTTATAAGTAACCTATACAGCGCGGTATTAAAGATAATTTTAATAAAGGCGGCTATCTAGAATTTTATATACAGGCTATTCTAGATTGCTATTAACTTTAATAAATAGCTACTTAGGCTCTACCTACTCTAGTAATAGCTTTAAGGCTTTTCTTAACTAATTAGTATAGAAGACGTTATATATACGTATATACGTAGGTAGCTAGAGCTAGAAAAAGTAACTCTTTATAGTAATAATTAAGTAAGAGCTATATATCTATTAATCTAGCTTTATACTAGACTAATTTGTTAAAAAGCTACAAGGTTTAATATAGACGAGATCGCCTATAGTAAAATTAGGTTCTTAGCGTTTTTTATTTACTTAGAGTATCTATCTAGCTTACGCTTTTACAATATTATCTTATATAATTTTAGTAGCTTTTTTTACGGCGTTATATTACTTCTTAGTAAAATTCTAAGCTTTTTAGCGCAAGAGACGCTTACGTAGAGTAGAGACTTTTATTATATACTTCTTCTAATTCTAGTAGTATACTAGCTAATATCTAAATTTAATTTTATACGCTATTAGTTCTATAGTTTTATATAGTAATATAGCTTATATCTAATTTATATAGAGTAGAAGGTCTAACTAATTATTCTAGTAGTAGTTAATAAATAGACGTAGACGCTAATTAAGATATTAATTAACAATCTCTATATTTCTATTAGTTTATAAGTAGTACGTAGTAGAGAGCTTCTACTTAATTTCTATAAGCTAGTAGAGCTTATCTATAAAGGTAGAGGTAAACTATAGACTATAATCTAATATAATAGACCTAGAAGAACTATATATACGCTAGATATATTAGTAATATAGCTCTACTATATATTAAGCTATAATTTTCTTATAGTAGAGTAGAGAGAAGCTTTACTTACTTAGCTAATCTATAATAACGTACACGTAGTTAAATTCTTTCTTATTAGAAAGAAAGCTCTTAAAATCTATAGAGACGTTCTACTATACTCTCTTAGAGATAGGTAGAGGCTTTAGAAGACCTAGCGTCTTATTCTATAGAGTATAGCTCTAGCAGTAAGCCTTATATACTACTATATATATATTAACGTCTTCTTGCATACCTAGCTAGTAATATTAATCTTATAGTAACTAGGTAGTTTTTCTTTATTCTAGGTAGGTAGTTATCTAAGTAGTATATATAGCGCGTATTAAATATATCTATAGGTAGTTAATAGTAGAAACTATTAATTAATTCTAATAGGTTAATAAGCCGTCTTCTATTTTCTAGGTAGAGCCTAACATAGTAGCTTTTTCTTAAGCTAGCTATAGAGAGTTGTCTAATTAGTTAGCTATAATAACCTAATTAATTATAGTGTATAGATTCTTAGTAGAGAGTACCTCTATAAACGTATTAGTAGTAGCGATTTTCGTAGCACTACTAGCTAATCTCTAGGTAGCTAGAACTAATAACTTACCTAATAATTACTTAATAGCTAAGAGGCTAATTTGCTTCTTACTTAGAAAAGCTCTTGTATAGGTAGTGTAATTCTTTTTCTTTTAGGTCTTAAGCTCTTCTTACTTTTATAATAACGCGTCTGCTACTATATTAGCTAAACCTAGTTAATAGGTAAGCTTAAGGTTGTAGTTAGTAATATTATTCGCCTAGTAGACCTACCTAGTAGTAAGTTCTTACTTAGTAGTAAAATACTTTAAGGCTTAGTAGTTAGTTAATACTATAAAAGGTTCTAGATCTTATAAGCTAATTAACTAGCTTCTCTACTTCTATACGCTAAAAATAACTACTAGTATTTCTTTATCGTAAATACTATAGTTTATCTAGATAGTATTTATTATCTTACTAAAGAAAGCTACTAGTCTCTAGATACTATCTTTCTAAAGCTATAAAAGAACTCTAGTAACTACGCTATCTAATACGTCTATTTCTACTCTTGTGCAGTAATAGAGAGAGTAATAAGCTAGTATAGTATTAGATAGCATAAGATTCTTAACCTACTAAAATACTATAAGCTTAATTTCTCTAAAGGTATATTATGCTCTCTGTTTTAGTAGCTTAGTAAGAGGGCGGACAATCTAGCTATAATTCTTTAAGAAGGCTTAGTAGAAATTATAGAAACCTAGAAATAATTAAAGGCTCTTAAGAGTTATAGGTATAGGCTAATTCTAGATAGTAGTAATTTTCTTAGAGTTCTTCTAGATTCTATTAGTACTTATAATTAATTCTAGAAACTTAGTACTTTTAATAGTAAATTTAGATTTCTTAATATCTACTTATAACCTAGCTTTATATAATTAATTAAGTACCTAGGTAATATAAGCTTTATGCTTAAGTAAATTCTTTAAATAAATAAGAATATTATTAATATATACTATATAGAAATTATCTAGCAAGCTATATAATACCTTGTTAATATATTACTAAAAGGTAGTAGAGCTATTATAGAGGCTAAAGAGTAGAACTTAATACTTATAGTTACTATACTGTGTGTAGAAAGACGTTAGGTTTTCTACTAACTTATTAAGCTAGATCTAGTAGAAAGCTTACCTTATGTCTAACTTAGTAAAGATCTTAGCACGTAATAGGCGTGTAAGCGTTTTCTAGATAAGAGAGATAGAATAGGCGTCTTTTTTTGTAATAGCGTTAAGCTTTTAATAGTTAACGTAGAACTTCTATTCTTTATCTAGCTTTTTAGTAAATAGAACTAGTAACGCGTATAACGTATTACTATAGATAATAAAGCTATAATAAAGGTAGTTCTCTAGGTAATTACGTACTAACTATAGGTGCTCTAGTAACATGCTATAAAGAGAACTATTTGTTAAGATATTTTCTATTATAAGCTTAATATTATAATCTATACTCTCTCTATATAGTAGTAGAGTATTAGAGTTCTTTTTTAAGAAATAGGCTATAGTTACGCTAGCATATTCTAGAGATAGAAGCTTTTTAGTAACTAGTTAGCGGAGTTTCTTCTCTAAGTTAGCGGTAGAGGTTTTCTTTCTATTAGTAATAAGCTAATTAACCTTATAGATACTAAGGTGCCTAATTATAGTATTTTTTTAACGCGCGTTAATTATAAAGGTAGCTACGCTAATTATATTAACGTTAAGCCTAGCCTTTAAGCATATTTCCTATAAAATAGGTAGCTTTTTTAGCTTACAGAGTAACCTAGCAGGCGAGTTAAGATTCTTAAGCTACCTATCTATCTTGCGCAGGTTTTCTTAAAGCTTCTAGCGTTGCGATTCTCTCTTCTCTTGTTATATTACTCTTAGCTTTTCTACTACTAATATTAGGGTATTATAACAATTAACATTAGCTTAGTAAGCTACTTAAGCTTTAGTAGTAGATTAAGAGAATTATATAGAAATAAACACGTCGCGTTTATAATTAATTAATTAATTAGTATCTAGCTATATTAGTGCGCGCTACTTATAGTTAATCTAAACGTTAACTTTCTTAAGTAGCTTGTAACTAATTATTATATTATAGCGGCTAGTATTACAACATACAAAGTAAGTACGAATTTAGTAGCTTTCTAGCACTAAATTAGCTTTAAAGTATTTATCTATCTAGCTATTAGGTTATCTATTATATCTAGCAAGAGAGATAGGTTCTATACGCGATAGCTTAACGTAGAGGTTTTTTCTAAGAGTTTAAAGGTACTTTAGGTACACTAAGACGTAGCTACTCGCTCCTGTATTAATTAAGCCTCTAAGCTTAATTATAAAACTGTTTACAAATATTTAGTAGAGTAGAGTAAACGTAGAACTACTAAATAGCTTTTCGCGTAGGTTTATTACTCTAGTAGATAGCTCTAGAGAGAAGACTTCTTCTAGAGCTAGGCTTTTTCTAAATTATTAGATTTATATTCTAACGTGTTATTCTTAGGTGCTTATAGCTCTATAGGCTCTATAGGCTTCTTCTCTAGATTAACGTTCTTAATAGCTTTCTGCGCGGTAGAAGCTCTAGAGTAATCGCGGCTTAGATAGCTAGGTTAGTAGTATTAAAAATAGGTAACTAGCTTCTAGATTACTAGAGCTTTATTAGGTGCTAAAAAACCTAAAAGAGCTAGAGGCACGCGTTATAGTATTAACGCGATTACGTTACGCTTTTTAGCCTTTCTAGTAGCAACGCGTACTTCTTCTAGAGTAAGCTCTTAAGCAAGGTCTTAAGTAAGGTCTATATAGTAATTATAGTTATTAATATATTAACGCTAGTATATACCTAACTACGTACGTATAGTCTCTAGTAGCTTCTTATAAAATTTCTCTACCTATTAATCTACTAGAAGCTAACGCTTCTATACAAGGTAGAAGAAATTATTCTAGAAGTAGGCGAAATTAGTAGCGCTTTAGCAAT